GGGTTTTTAAAGAGAGAAAACCATGAGCAGGGTGGTATAAGCCTTGGTATCATATATATGGGTGAGGGTGCGTAATCTTTGAATTTACTAGTTAGGGATGACAGTTATCATTTTTGGGCAGGCCTGGACAAGTCCCAGGCTCTGTCCTTGGGCTGCCATGGAGGCTGGCTGGCCTAGCACATTCACACTGATCCATGCACGTAGCTCTAAGTTGGTGAGGGGTCCCAGACAGTAAATAGCTGGCTGAACCTTGAGCAGTCAGAGTATGTGCAGAAAGGGAGCTACTGCAAGGACTATGTCTTTTTCTTGGCCCTCCCAGAAACTGCTTGCTCAAGTCTCAGCCTGATCTCTGAGAGAAGACTGACAGCCTGTTATGGCGTCTGCTTGGTCCTTTCAGAACAACTGAGCAGAAGATTGGCAGCGGCTGCAATGTGGCACTCTCTTCTCATAGACATCAAATGTGAGCCGGGCAGAGGTGGCACACATCTTTAATTCCAGAATCCTGGCACTCAGGAGCCAGAGGCAGGAGGATCTCTGAGTTAAAGCCCAGCCTGGTCTAAAGAGCAAGTTCCAGGACAGCCAAGGCTACACAGAGAAACCCAGTTTTGGAGTGGGGGGAAGAGAGAGAGAGAGAGAGAGAAAGAGAGAGAGAGAGAGAGAGAGAGAGAGAGAGAGAGAGAAAGAGAAGAAATCAAATGTGGGGAGTGGCTGAGTTGGAAAATGGACTCCTAGCTTCCTGAAGTTGGGTGGCTAACCTGACACTGAGAAACTGAGATGGGGGTGTCTTAGGGTTTCTGTGCTGTGAAGAGACACCACGATCACGGCAACTCTTAGAAAGGAAAACATTTCATTGGGGCTCGCTTACAGTTAGAGGTTTAGTCTGTTTCATCATGGCAGGAAGCAAGGCAGCGTGTATGCCGACATGGTGCTGGAGAAGGAGCTGTGAGTTCTACATCTTGAACCTGCAGGCAACAGAAAGTGGTCTGAGACAGTGGGTGTGGCTTGAGCATATATGAGACCTCAAAGCCCACCTCTACAGTGACACACTTCCTCCAACAAGGCCACACCTACTCCAACAAAGCCACTTCTCCTAATAATGCCACTTCTCCTAATAATGCCACTCCCCATGAGTTTATGGGGGTCAATTACATTCAAACTACCACAGGTGGCTAGTACTGTCCCCAAAGAAAGGACTTGAATTGGAATTATCAGTCTAAAGGAAGGGCATGGTGGCTCATGCATTTAATCCCAGTACTCAAGAGGCAGAGGCAGGAGGATCTCTGTGATTTGAGACCAGCCTGGATGGGCTATGTAGAGAGACCCTGTCTCAAGTAAAACAAAATAAAAATTTAACCAACAACAAAAAAATTGTCAGTCTATCTGTGTGTGTATGGGAGTGTGCACACCATGGTGCTCGTGTGGATATCAAAGAACAACTTTCAGGAGACAGTTCTCTCCCTCCGTCATGTGGGTCCCAGGTACTGAATTCATGCTGTCAAGGTTGAGGGAAAGCACCTTTGTCTTCTAAGCTATTGCCCCAGGCAATAACAGTGATGCTGGGATAATGGAACTTGAAGCCAACGCTCAACAATAAAGAAAATGAAGAAGGGGAGTATGCTGGATGGTCTTGTGTCAACGTAACATAAGCTGGAGTCATCTGACAGTAGGAAACCTCGGCTGCCTCTATAAGATCAGGCTGTAGGGTGTTTTCTTAATTAGTGATTGATGGGGGTAGGCCTGGCCCATTGTGGGTGGTGCCATCCCTGGGCTGGTGGTCCTGGGTTCTATAAGAAAGCAGGCTGAGCAGCCATGAGGAGCAAGCCAGTAAGCAGCACCCCTCCATGGCCTCTGCATCAGTGCCTGCCCCCAGGTTCCTGCCCTGCTTGAGTTCTTGTCCTGACTTCCTTCGGTGATGGACTACAATGTGGATATTATAAGCCAAATAAACCCTTCCCCCCCCAACTTGTTTTTGAATATAGTGTTTCACTGCAGCAATAGAGTAAGACAGGGAGCCAGATCCTTGGATTCCTTCCTATCATGAATCCCTCCTAGAGTTCACTCTGTGTCCAGTGGGCCATTGACCTCACTGAAGACCAAAGTGTAAACAGATGTGGTGCTGGGTGTGAAGGATCACACCTGTAATCACAGCACTTGGGAAGCTGAGGCAGGAGGATTGCTCTGAATTTGAGGGTATCCTAGGGAGTACCAGGTCACCCTGAAATATAAAACTAGACCCTACTTATGAATAAATAATAAATAAAAGTGATATTTATGGCTTCATGGTGGTAGTACTCATCCCATGTCTTCCCCTGGGTGGTAGGTTCAGGGTTTTATTAGTGTGCTCTGAACAGTAAGGGGTAGTTAGTTATACATACTTCTCTTGTGTAACAGTGTATTTTACAATTATTTCAAGCTGAAAAAAAATCAAATAGCCGAGTATGGTGTCAAACACCTTTAACCCAGCATTATAAAGCAGAGGTAGGTGGGTCTCTGTGAGGTTGGCAGCCTCCTCACACAGCTTGGTCCAGGCCAGCCAGGGCCACATAGTAATAGTCTGTCTTAAAAGAAAATGGAAAAATGGCAGGTGTCAGGACAAGATGGCTCAATGGTTACAAGCACTTGCTGATTTGGGTCCCAGCTCCAGGGCTATCCCACATCTTGGGCCTCTGAGGGCAACCGTAGCACACACAAGTACACATACTAAAAAAATAATAAAAACCAAATCTTCTGAAAAGAGAGGAAGTGAGCACATGTGTTAGGTCTGGGGTGTAGCTTAAGAGAGCACAGGCCAGGCATCAGTGCCCAGACTGTCCTTCTAAAGACCCAGCATGGGGCTCCCCTGTCCCCACCCTGGCTCACGGTACCCTCCCAGGTCTGTTTCCATTTACATAAAATGGGACCTCTCCAGGGTCCCTTCTGGTTGTAATGGTGTGGAAATCTGTAGAAGTCTTTGCCACAGCAGGGAGAATAAGAACCTGAGTCTGACAGCCCGTGGGAACACCTCCCCACTCAACAGCAAAAATGTATTTCTGTCTTGACATTCCACAATGGAAACTTAATTGCTGATAAGTGGCTGGCAACTGGTAGATGTGATTTGAGAGCTGAATCTATAACAGGCTCTGGGAGCGCCTGGAGAATGCCGGGCTCCTGGGAGGTGAAGGGGGACCCTACATTTTAGGGCACAGGGCATCAGCTTGGCTAGGGAACCCTGGGGCCAGGGATGGCAGACCCGCCCTCCACATCCCCTCAGCAAGAAGTGGTAGCAGAGACAGCAGGTGCCAGCAGGCCACTTCTTCCCAGGAACTGTGCTGATTGCTTTCCTGGTCATGTAGTAACGTGGACAACGCTGTGGGGAGACTCAGGGAGGGCCACTGCTTTAATTCTCGTGACTGAATGACACAGATGAGATCATCCCCCGACTACAGAGGAGAAACCAAAACACTGCTGATTGCCCAAGTCAAATCATTATGGGCTGGAGAGGGAGAGGTGGCTCCAAAGTTAACAGGGCTTGCTGCTCTTACAGAGGATCAAGGTTCAATTCCCAGCACCCACACTGGGTGGCTCACAACTGCCTGTGACTGGAGCCCCAGGGGATCAGAAGCCCTCTTCTGGCCTCCACAGATATACTCACACACATGGCTTGCACACACACACTGGCACATACACACAAATAAAAATAAATCTTTTAAAACATGGTTAATGTATGGTGGAGCTGGGACCCAACCAAGCAGCCTGGCCCCAGAGCCCAGGCTCTCACATCCCACACTCCACTAGCTCATCTCGAAGGATCACCCCGAAAGGGTGGCAGTTGTTGTTTCATCTTAAGGATGGTGACCAAAACTCAGGTAGATCGAGTGACGTCCTTAAGGTTCATAGCATGGAGGTGGCAGAGGCAGGATCCAACTGAAGGTTTACGTGTGGTCAAAACCCCGGCTGCTCACTGTCAGTCCATACTGCCTCCTTGGGTGAGTTTGTGACCAGCTCTCCAAGGAGCCACTGAAACAGACATTCCAGGTGTCCTCTCAGGCAAGGCACATCTTTGTGCTGGAGCAGTCACTGACTCACTGTGACCTCAAGCAAGTGCTCCCAAGTCCCCTTTGTGAACAAGATACTAGGTGAGCCCTCTGGTTATGGCCAGGTCATATTCAGTGACACAGGATGAGTACAGAAGGGCTTGAACTGCTTCTGGCTCCAAGGACAGAGGTCTCCAGGGTGGAGCTGCCTGGAAGCTTGGATTTGAACCCCTGCTTGGGGTTGGAGTGCTGGGGTGCTTGCCTTGAATGCATGGCACCCTAGGTACAATCTCCAGAGCTGCAAACCAAACCACAGAAACCCTAGAAACTTTTTTTTTTTTCTGAGACAAGATCTCAAGTAGCTCAGGCTGGCCTTGGTCTACCATGATCCTCCTGGTTCCACCTCTCAAGTGCTGGGATTGTAGGTGTGCACTACCATGCCTGGCTCAACTACCCCTCACCTCTTCTCAGAGGAGGAAGATGAAGAACCGGGATGGTGGGAGACGGTTCCACTGGTGTCTGTGGGACAATGCCTGCAGATGTGGTGTGATGACAGAGGACAGAAGTGTCTTTCTCACAATTCTACTAGAGGCCAGACACCCTCGTGAAATAAGGACTGGATGCCAGTATACACATCCTGTGTGGAGTTAAGGAACTAGATGTAGACTCTCCCCAGGTGGCTGTTTCCTAGTCTGTTCACCCACGCAAACTCACTAGACCAGATGGTGAGTACCCCTGAGGGGATGAGAGCCTGGATTCAAATCCCAACTCAGCCCTTGTCCACGTGAGCAGCTTCCTTCCTCCTCCTGTGCCCCAGTTTCCTCATCTGTGAAATGGGAACAAACTAGCACCCATCCTTACCTGTTCTCCAGTGTGTGGTCAGAGTTCATGTACTGATGCCTGCAAAGTGCTTAGAACAGTGGCTGGGGTGGGGGTGGGGTGAGGGGGCGGGGCAGGGCGGGGCTGGGAACAACGCTGTGAGTGCGGGCTGCTGTCCCCACCAGATCTTGCATCCCCCATGCTTGACACAGGAAATGCTGGCGAGAACAGGTGCCTTCCATGGGGTGGCAAGACACTGGAACAGCGGTAGCCAGGGAACGGCTGCAGTCGTGGCCAAGTGCACAAGCCTCTGCCGGGGACCTGGCCACACTTGTGTGACCCTGCTTCTTCCCAGAAGCAAGTCCGCTCTTTCTGCTCTTTGTCCGGCCTCAGTTGTCCCCTCTGGGTATTCCCTAGGTAGCTGCTGTCTAAAAGCAGAGCATCACAGCAATCCTTCTGCCTCAGCCTCCTGAATGCTGGGATGAGGAGCGTGAGTCACCACACCTGGGTCTTTTTTTTTTTTTTTTCAAATTAGGAAACTGGGGTCTAAAGAAAATTTAAAATCTTAAATAAAGTAGGAGATAGGCAGAGCCAGGATTTGAACTCAGGCTTGCCTCATTCTAGAGTTAGGTCTGGGTATCACGGAGCGTGAGGCTGTTTGGAGACTATGCCAACCAGCTTTTTACCACTGTAATAAAATACAGGATGCAATGATTCAGGTTACTCATGATGAAAAGAGAATTCCTGCCTGTCCTGGAACTCCTTCTGTAGACCATGCTGGCCTTGAACTCACAGAGATCCGCTTGCCTCTGCCTCCAGAGTGCTGGGATCAAAGGCGCGTGCCACCACACCAGGACAAAAGAGATTTCTTCAGCCCACAGTTTTGAAGATTCAAAATTCAGGATCAGATAGTTCCATTTGGTCTCTGGAGAAGGTACCATGGAATGTCAAAGCAGAATACGTGGTCACATGGGGAACCAAGGAACCAAGCGGGGCGAGAGCCAGGCTCACTCCTTCAATGAGAACCTCCCAGCAAGAGGCAACTTCATCCTTTTCCAAAGCAGAGACCTACTGATTACTCAAGAACCCTACCAGATTGACTGTCCCAGCTTTGATCATCTTTAAGAGCGGTAGGAGCTCCAGCAATTGAGAAGCTGAGGCAGGAGGATTGCTATGAGTTTGAGGCCATCCTCAGTGGAAAACTCTATTTTAAAAATAAAACAATAGAGAGAGAAGGAAAGGGGAAGAGAGAGGAGGGAGGGAGGGAGAGAGGGAGGGAGGGAGGGAGGGAGGGAGGGAGTGAACGAGCATGCCAGCTAGTAGAGCACTTGCTTAGCATGTATAAGGTTCTGCATTCAAACTTCAGCACTAAAAAATAGTTTAAAATGATGAAAGAAATTATATAGATTTGGGGGCTAGGGAGAAGGCTCGGTCAGTAAAGCACTTGCTTAAGGACCAGAGTTTGAGTCCCCAGAACCCTTATAAAAAGCTAGACAGGGTAGTGTGCTCCAGCCCAGATCAATGCAAACAGCCCTGGTTAGCTGATTTGGGGGGAGAGAGTAGGAACTCCACCCCGAGCTGAAAGCCAACACTCCTGCTTGGGAACTGCTTTCCTCCTCTCAAAGGTCAGTCCTCCCACAGGGAGAAATTGGTATTCTGTGTGTGTGTGTCGGTGCCCCTGTCCGTCCTTGTCCCATCCCCCATTCAATCCTATTTGCTGGGAGATAACAGCTCCCGACTTGTTAAGCCAAAGTGGCTTTCCCCTCCTCGAACTGAATCCCATCACAAGGCTTCCTCAAATGAGGAGACATAAAAGGGTGTCCTGCCCCGAGCTCTGTTTTCACTTCACCTTGTCTGCGGGGGTAGGGGGGGTGGGGGGGTGTCGGGAGTTTGGGGGTGGGGAGCGGCTGTGGTTCCCGGCTGCCTTGTCCCTTCCCTGGCACTGTCTTCTGAGTACAAGAAGCACAGTGAGGTTTTATACGGCATTTCTCGAGAAAGCCTCTGCTGTACCTAGGACCACGATGCTCCAAAGACAGATCTACACCTCTCCAGCACTGAAGGAAGCCCAGGCCATGGAAAGCCACGCCCCTGTTGCCCGCAGCTCACAGGTGACCAGGAAGGAAGAGCATTAGAACAACCTGCTGATTGGCTGACTCCTCACGGAGTTCCACAACAGGCACGGATTAACCTAACTCCCTACCACCATCAAGGCCACGGTGAGACAGACCCAATACAGCCAGGCCAGGTGGTGAGGTGCTGGCCATGGCCTCTTTTTTGATCTGTCGGGAGCTGCCAGCATAGGGAACGATCTGGAAAACTAAATCAGCCATGTTTTACAACTTTCCCGTTTCTCTACCCTTTCTTTCTTTGGCCCAGCCCCACCAGAGAAAGGAGCTGCTGAAGCTGAAGGCTGTCTCCACTTTCAGCTGTAGGCTGAGGGTCACAAGTCTCAAATGCAAGTTCTACATTTAGTTTTGAGGTAATGCAATTTTGGAGCTAGCAAGATGGCCCAGTGGGTAAAGGTTGGCCACCAAGACTGATGATGACTTGAGTTCAGTTCTGGGAATCCATATTACCATGTGGAAAGACCTGGAAGAATCTACATTACCGTATGTGGAAAGAACCAAGTCCTGGGAGTTATGCTCTGACTTCCACACACATGCCATGGCGTACACCCCCAACACACACATTTAGACAAATGTAAAGAGAAGTTACAAGATGACGAGGTTTGGGGGCAGACAAAAGCACTTGCCATATGAACCAGATGATCTGAGTTCGATCCGCAGGCTCCACACTGAGTTCAATCTTTAGAATCTATAGAAGGAGTGAACCAACTCCCACCGAGTTGTCTTCTCATCACACACACACACCAATAATACTAAATAAATAAGTTTAAGGTGGGGCTGGAGAGATGGCTCAGAGGTTAAGAGCACTGGCTACTGGTTGCTCTTGTCCTGAATTCAATTCCCAGCAACCACATGGTGGCTCACAACCATCTGTAATGAGATCTGGTGCCCTCTTCTGGCATTAAGGGATACATGCAGGCAGAACACTGTATACATAATAAATAAATAAATCTTTAAAAAAAATAAGTTTAAGGTGACCACAGAGATGGCTTGGCAGTTAAGAGCTTGTTTGGTTCCCAACACCCACGTGGCTGCTCACAACAGCCTGTAACTACAGTCCCAGGGGTGCAGCACCCTCTTCTGGACTGCATGTGTGTTACACGCACATGGTACAGACAAAACCCCCACACACATAAAATAAAAACAAAATAAATTTTTAAAAAAATTTTTTTAAGCCAGGTGTGGTGGCTCATGCCTTTAATCCCAGCACTTAGGAGGCAAAGGCCAATGGATCTCTAAATTTGAGGCCAGCCTGGTCTACAAAGCAAGTTCCAGGACAGCCAGAGCTACACAGAGAAACCCTGTCTCAAAAAAAACCAAAATATTAAAAAACAAAATTAATTAAAAATAATTTAAAAATATTTACATGTAATGCAATTTACCTCCCTAGATCTTAGCTCTCCCATCTGCCAGGAGAACAGAACAAGACAAAACTACTGGGATTTCTATTCATGTTATCCCATCCCCCCACTCACCCACCATGCAGTAGGCATCATTATAGCTCCATGAACCTGACTGGATGAAAACTCCTGTCCTATTGCTAGCCTGACCATCCCCTCCTCTGAATCTGTTTCTTCATCTGCTGTGGGATAGAGCAGATAGAATTTAAGACATTTCAAAGAAAGGATCCGAGTTAGAGGCACATTACACATTGAAAGGATGGGACAGACATAAAAGATAGTCCCAGCACTTGGGAGATAGGAATGGGAGGACCAGGTCATCCTAGGCTACATAGAGAGCTAAAGGTTAGCCTGGGCTATTTGAGAAGCTATCTGGGTGTAGTTTGAATGTAATTGGACCACATAAGCTCATAGGGAGCAGCACTATTAGGAGGTGTGGCCTTGTTGGAGGAAGTGTGTCACTGTGGGGGCAGACTCTGAGGTCTCCTTTGCTCAAGCTGACTCAGTGGGACTCTCAGACCACTTTCTGTTGCCTGCAGGTCAAGATGTACCTTCTCCAGCACCATGTCTGCCTGCATGCCACCATGATGTTAATGAACTAAACCTCTGAAAATGTAAGCCACCCCAATTAAATGTTTTTCCTTTATAAAAGTTGCCATAGTCTAGCTGGGTGGCGGCGGCACATGCCTTTAATCCCAGCACTCGGGAGGCAGAGCCAGGAGGATCTCTGTGAGTTCAAGGTCAGCCTGGTCTACAGAGTGAGATCCAGGACAGGCACCAAAACTACACAGAGAAACCCTGTCTTGAAAAATTAAAAA